GACATATGTAACCCTTCCTAAGCTGTTTGTCTATGAAACTAGATACCTCAAAGTGTCCTTCAAATCTATAGCATGGTCCCAAGGCTTAGCCTCTGGGAAGCGCTCTAATTTGTGTTTAGAAAAGACTTTCCAGAAGCCATGGTACTCGGGAGGTACCAGCCTCTTTATCTCTTCTTCGGGTTTTACCTCATCATCGTCATCGTCTATCTTTTCTAAAGATCTGAGCTCATAAACGTGACCAGCATTTATCTTTTCAAGACGCTTATCATGACGGACATGACTCGGCTTACCCAAGTTCACACATTCCTGAGGGCAACGTGATAATGTGACAACCCCTGTCTGCCAGTCAATCTCAGGATTATGTTTAAATAGCCAGGTCCAGCCCAAGATTAAATTAATCTTCCCTAGTTGGGTAGCTTCAGCAGTGACTCGTTCTCTGTGTCCTTGGTATTCGACAACAAAAGATCATTTGTGTGTGATACAGCCACCTGCGTTAAGTGTACCGTCAATGTTATAGACGGGAATAGATACATCTAATTTTACAAGGGGGAGTCCAATCTGCTCCGCCCAGTCCTGGTCTATGAAGATTCTGTTAGCGCCTGAATCAAGCAGTGCGCTTGTTGGGTGTACTATGCCCCGGGCAAGGTTTTCCACACCAACGTCTAAACAAATTTCCTTTTGGAATAAATATGTGTGCATCAACACACACCTTGGGATTTTGGGAAAGGGTGGCTCCAGAGAAGAAGAAGAAGTATCGAAAGAAACATGTTTTTCTATTTTATTTTTACCAGAATCAAGCACCCTAGTGTTTGTCTCGCCGGGGCCACGCTCCAAAGGAGATGCTGGTGCAGCGGTAGTATCATAAATATTACAATCGCATTGCTTCATACAAGTACATACTTCGGATAACAAATTTAGAAATCTATTTACAAATTGGGGAGCCATCCCCGTCTTTCCTTTATTGCTCGTACAACACCCCGGAGCAGGGGCCACTTTGTTGTGGTTTATTTCATTGTTCGCAGAAGCGAAGGCACCCAAGTGACCTAAGCCCCAAATTCTTTTCCCTGAGCCTTCATCTCATTGACCTGTTGGTCATAGAAAAAGGCTTGGATTTTGTCGTAAGCACAACCAGTCAGAGAGTTGAGCGGGTCGTCCAGTTTTTCGGATTCTAATTGGCGCGCCTGGCGCCCTTGGTTTTTTTTATATTGGGCGGCCTGCACCCCATTTCTGCAGTCTCAGGACATGTGTCCCTCTTGGCCACAGTTGTAACAGTTGCCCTTGAATCTGTGCATCTGTCCGCCTTGGACCCCACCGATATCCATAGGAGCACCCTCTCCTGGCTGCAGCCCGAACGGCTTGAACCGGTGAGAGTGATTATGTTGGTTTGATAACCCAGGGTGCCTCTGGGATGTGTTGTTTTGTTTGGTGGACCCGCCACCTTGGTGCATAGTGTAGAGCTCTATGGCTCTACCGACTCGTCGTACTTCCTCACCCGCCAGGGCCAAGTTGTCGCTTCTTGTATCCTGCAAGTAGATCTGTTCTGCAATGCGAGGGTTCACATTGCGTTCCAGCAGTTCTACTGCATGTTCATTGCCAAGAACCCCTTGGATAGAGAGGGCCAGGAATTGGGTTACGAAGTCATCCGTCCTCATGTTTCCTTGTTTGAAGGAACAGATTTGCTGACGCGCCCAGTCACGCTCAGCTTGCGGTTTGAAGTATTTTTTGATCTCTATCTTGAGATCGTCCCAGGTAGGCCACACTCCCGCAGTGTAGCATTCCTGTAATCTGACTTGGGCGTATTGACCCACCACAGGTCCTTTTAGGCGAGATAGCACCACAGTTGCCACCTCAAAATTGTCGGCAAACACGTCCCGGTTTGCCTTGACCCAAATCTGGAGCTTGATCCACCATTCGGTGAATCGCGCTCTGTCTCCTTCGAAGGTGCCAGGGTCAGCGACGACTTTGACCTTTTTATTGAACTTTTTCTCAACCGAGGGGGTTGCCACAGGGGGGTTTGCCTGCAGCTTGGCGAGTTGCGTGGTCAACGCCAGGATTTGCTGCCGCATGCTATGCAACAGGGCGTTGACATCTTGTTGTTGGGGTTGCAACAACATGTCGACTTGTTCTCTTTATAAGGTAATAAAAATGTAACAGGGGGTCCCTGCTTGCTATCTGCAGATCTATCTCTTCCCAGCTGAGTATCGGGTCTCAATCCCCAACTACTCACACTACAGTATTTGAAATTGTATATAAAAGTTATCGTATTAAACCCTGGTCCGAACGGTTGTCAGGGGGTGGTCCGCTTGTTAAGCTGTCAACCCTTCTCCAGACTGGCGGAGGCAAGTGCCCGGCCTGGTCAGAGGAAAGAGAAAGTGAAGTTTTGTATGTAAATTCTAATCAACAGTGGTTCCACACCGACTGCTGAGCTATAGTACTCCCCTTAATGCTGGGGGCCGCATATCAAAGGTTTTGGGTTCTTCTCCCAAAGCACTACAAGGCCGTCGCTAGGAGCGCACCTATCTGCTATGCGGGATATTCCCAACCAATAACCAAATCTCCTTCACTCTGGAGTCCGGGTGCCCAGTGGGACTTTTGCACAGACGTGCGAGAGAGTAGAAAGAGCAAGTCCTAATGTAACAACCAAGAGTTATTTACTCTGGCGCACACAGGAACACACTATAAAGAAGATGATGAGGGAGTGGTTATCCCTTAGGCTGCAGTGAGTTAGTAGGTATACAACAGGAGGACTCGCTGAGGAGTCTCCTGGATTTATTGGGGTATATATACTACTACAGGTTTTGTTTGTACATATGTACTATACAGTTGATAGAGGCAGTGGCTGATGATGTCATAGGGCCTAGCCCGTATGGCCAGCTCCACTGCGTGAGAGAGTAGAATCTAAAAGAAGAGATAAGGCAACGCGGTGTGAGAAAGAGGAGTTTAGAACAAAAAGGGGAAATGCCGCGTGGCGCCATGTGCGAAAGCTAAAGTACAAAGACAAAGCGGAGATTGAAAAGAAAGGGAATGTCCAACAATTGTGTTATCGTAACATTGAACCCGTGAGAGTGTTGTTTATGTTGGTTTGATGACCCAGGGCTCCTCTGGGAATAGTATGAGCATGGGATAGAAATTGTGAAAGGCACCAACTTGAAGATCAAGGCAGACAAACAGCTGAAGTAGATTGGCTCGCTTTAGCCCTATTTCTGCAATGCGCTCACTATCACCCTGCTGAAGGAGGGGCTCTATGATGGCCTTCAAATGCTCGCCCTTGGATTCACGTTTTTTTGCCACTCTCATCTGCTTTGGCTCCGCGGGCTTTGTTGGTGAGGGGACAGGCTCCTTGACCTCACAAGCACATTTTGATGTGGGGGTAGGTAGCTGAGAAACTGTTGTAACCCCACCACCACACACGGGTGAACGTCCACGAGAAGAGGCTTGCTGAGGGGTGGAATGGGTGGATTGTTGGCACTGATGGCCAGAAGTTGGGACAGGCGGTGGCAGTTCATTGCCGGATGCAGAATGGATAAACACATAGGATGGAAGAGATGGTAGGGCAATACTTGTAGGGTCTGATTCATTGCTGTTGATAGACAAACTAGATAGCAATGGCTCAGACAATGATAAAGGAGCAGTGGACCGGTGGTGATGGAACTGCAGGGAGGCCATGTAAGGGCCTTGATTGCTTTGCGGTGGGTAGGATACGACCGGCAAGTCAGATTGGGACGGATTTGACCTCACAAAAATTTGCTGAGATGCCGAGTTTAAACTGTGACGTTTAATGCTGGGACTGAGCTGCTGACTGGGGGAAATAATGTTCTGAAACTGGCTGCCACTGCCACAGCTATTCACACTTGTGGGTTTGCTACCGCTATTGTGCTGCTCAGTAGTGTTGTAGGGAATGTCAGCCTGCTGAGAGTGATTGCTGCCACTGTACAGACTCTTGTGGCCCCCATACTGGCCCTGACTGTTGTTATGGGGGTCTTATTCTATCATATCCCATCCACCCCCTTGATAATGTATGTTCATGCCTTGCTCAAACGCCCCATCATCACCCCTCATCGAGAAAAAAACAGTCATGGCTTGACCTGCAAGATTTTGGCCAGGTGCGGATGTCGTAGGCTTTGCGTTATATTTCGGTGATGATTTCCAAAATGCGTTGAGGCAATCCCACCAAGGGAACTTTGCCCGGACTCATTCTTCATCAAGTCAATATGTAACTACTACATATAAGTAACCTACTACTTACCTAGAGGGCTACTGAACTGAGCATCAGATGGATCATCTGAGATGAGACCGCTGCCTGTGGAGCCTAAGTCACACATATGGCTCTTGTAGGCTTTACTGAGGCTTATCAACAGGTTAGTCAATGATTGGAGGGATATGTCGTGAAATATACCTTGTGAGATGGTTCTGAACAGACTCACCAAACCATTTGTGGTAATGATCAACAGATATCTGAAGATCAGTATTGGAATCATTGTTGAAGACATGGCGGGCAATACACCTGTGTAATGCTGCCTTGGTGTATTTTGTGCTCTTCAAAGTGTCCCAGTTTTCTTCCTTTGCAACCACAGGGGAGTCTGAAAATAATACATATCTATGTTTAGGATGCTTTTCCAACCAATTGACCAACCTGTCTGTGCGGGATTTGGTCCAATTAATCTGAGAGGGTCTGGGGGGTTTACCTTGTTTTTGAAGGGTTTCTACAGAAGCAGTTTGGCAGCTTGTCTCTGTTGCATTCAAATCGTGAGGATTGTCAGAGGACTGAGAGTGCTCGGATGGTAGGGCCATGACTTGAGTAAGGGTGCGGGGGACCACCAGACACACCAGACACACACCCTTCCAGCCTGTAGCAAGGTTAAAGCGCCGATTTGTCTCGGAGGACTTGCCGCATAGTTTTATTCAATTTTCTAAAAAATATTATTATTTGGTATGAAATTCAGTTACCTGCCCCGCATTCCGTCCTGATGATGTGGCAACCTTGAAGCCAGAGATCCCGATCTTGTCTAAGCGACTTTCTTCAACATCCACCTTGAACAAGGCTAGTGAACGCAGTGAAAATTGTAGCCACATTGGAAATTCTCATGCTTATAAGAACAGACAGCACAAGTGACTTTTGACTCGATAAAATTTGATCACTTAACTGTATTATTATTACTCAAAAGATAATGTAGAGCAGCTCGGTCAAGAGCAGCGGAATGCTTTTGATACCATTGTGCAGTCAAATCATCATAATTGGGGAACAACTTGCTTTATTCACAGTGTTGGAGGTACTTGTAGGGGAAAACCTTATCTCTGTAATACAATCACTGCTGTTGTTTGAGCAAGGGATAATTATAATGTTACTCTATATGTAGCATCCTCTGGGATTGCATCCCTGCTCTTGGGGGGTGACCGCACAGCGCATTTGTGCCTTGGAATCCCTATTCCTGTGAATGAGGTATCCACATGGATTCCAAGGAAGTAGACTTCCTCGGTATGATAATAGGCCAAAAAGGAATCAGGATGGATCATGAGAAAGTTCAAGCTATTTTGAACTGGCCTGAACCTACTCGCGTCAAAGGAGTTAGGGCCTTCCTTGGCTTAGGCAATTTTTACCAAAGATTTGTTGAAAACTTTGCAAAAATAACAAGACCGTTGAACGATCTCACTAAAATGGATATCGTTTGGCACTGGGGCGCCAAAGAACAAGAGACTTTTGATAAGCTTAAGTAGGTATTTACAACAGCGCCCATATTAGCATTTCCAGAATTAGACAAAGAGTTCCGACTAGAAACCGACTCTTCTGATTTTGCTACTGGGGCTGTCAGCAGCAGCAGATTGAACCCGCAAAACTGCAGATAACTTGCGAAGAAAATGAGTAGTACTGCTGAACATTTATCTTTTTTTGTAGGTTTGATATTTTTCCTTTGCTCGTTTATATGTTTCATATCATGTTTCATGTTTACTTACACAAGTCTTATGGTGTTTATGTTGTTATGTACTTCTGTTGTTGTATATGCTGTATGTCTTTCTAGTTATGTTTTGGCCTTTGTTGGTTTATGTCAAGAATAAACATTGTGTTGCTGTTGTGAAACCATAAAACATATGTGAAGTATGTAAGTATCAGTACAAGTGACTGTTGAAGAGAGCATCAAAAAGAGTCTGCCTAAGTGATTGACTAGGATTCTGTGGTGCAGGATTATCCTTATCCTCTTGTCTATTTGAATCATCCACATCCATGTCAATGCCTCTCTCATGATTGCAATTATCTAGTTCTTGTTGTATTTCCTGCTGCCAATCATTAGGAATAGTGGCACCTGACTGCCTGTTTTCTTCAATACTGATGATAAGGTTGGGCAGAATAAAGCAGCAACGAATCCAGATAATGGTAAACTTCTTCTTGTTTTCCGAGTCAATTTGTACCCGTAACTCTTTGAGGGTTTGGAATCGGATCTTGAAAAGTCCAATGGCATGTTCACAGCATATCCGGATACGTGACAACTGGTAGTTAAACTGAGACTGTCTTGCAGTGAGGCCACGGCCTGAAGCCTGTTTGAATGGTGCTACACACCAAGGTGTGATAGGATATGCAGAGTCTGCCCAAAGCCATTCACCTGGTGCAAGAATGACTTCATGATTGCGTGATATGAGGGTGTCTTGAAGGGCAGATGAGTTGTGGGTGCTCCCTGTATGTCCTAGGCCATAATCCACAATCCTGAGATTGTGTGGAAGAATTATAATCTGGGGAAAGGATCAGATTATTCCTATAATTCTGAAGTAATACAAATCACCTGAGAATTCAAGGAATAATTGGATTTCCTGTCAAAGAAGGTCTCCACAAAGTAGCTTGGCTTTTGGAAGAGACAAAAGTTGGTGCCATCAACTGCCAAACATCCATATCTCCACTCTGCACACACTTGACTCTCTACCCATGCCTTGGCAGCATCTTTCTCCTGCTGAGTAGGGGGCCCCATAACTTCATCATGCAAAGACAGAATAGCAATCATACACCAATTGGTGCTATTCACTACAGTCCCAACAGAGAAACCTGCCCAGTCAGCTATGTCAGCAGGAGTGGCTCCATTACCATAATGTCCTAGACGATTCAAAAACATAGAGAGCTGGTGCTCTACAGGGGTTTGTGGTGTATTGGAATTATTATGGAATATGGGGTGATTACTGATCCTAGCCAAAATAGCATCAAAAGTTTCTGGTCAACATTGATTAGCATGTTGGAATCGAGTCTGATTGTGTTGGCGTGACCACTCCATATGAGGGAACTGGGATAATCGGGGTGCTGCTGGGTATGTGGTAAATACTCTGGTATTTTGTATTTCACTAGATAAATGCAGGTATTCTGCAATTAATATTTGTATATGACGTGCTTGAGGACGTAAATGCACTGCTGGCATGTCCTGTGCCTGCTGGACAGATGATATACCTAACATATTCAAGATAAAATTGTTAGAATTTATATAAACAATGAAATGATAGACTCACCTGACATAGCAGACATGGACTGTATCAGGGACAACGGACTGCTCGGAAGTGACAGGTCACGTGACCCATCACCTTCCAAATTGCCATCTTGATTTTTGGTTTGGGACATCGGAGAATGCCGGCGGATCAGCTGGCGGAGGAGAAGTATGAACAAGCTGTCGAGTTCGTTGAGGTGCTGCTGGCAAAGGGTAGGCTGGTGTCATCAGGACATTGTGCTTGGGGATTCAAGGGGGGCATGCCCAACTTTATATGTCATTACTCAAATGCTATTCATTCTCCTCCTCAATGTACACCGGTTTTTTGTACAGGTATATCTATTTAATTTTACAGCCTCGGTTTGATGTAAGTACATAGTTGTTGCTTCAATTGCCGTTGCTAAGCTGACAGTGCTTGGTTACAGCTTTTGCTGCTCCTCAACATCCACCTTGAACGAGGCTACTACTACTGTACTGCTGCTCCTGTGTTGCCACAAAAACCACATGAGCAAAACTAAGCAAAATAACCGATGCAACGTGGCTTGCACGCGGCATTTAGAACCACTGTCCCCTTTGTTATAGATAGAATAGAATAGAATATAATATAATATATACCACAGCCTCTGGCATACCTGGCCCATGGTTACTGATGAATTCTTTGATGATGTACAACTTAGTATGAAGATGAATTTCTGCAGATACAAAGAATAGGAAATGTAACAACCAAGAGTTAGTTACTCTGGCACACACTAAGGCACACTATAAAGATGATGATGAGGGAGTGGTTACCCCTTAGGCTGCAGTGAGTTAGTTGGTATACAACAGGAGGACTCGCTGAGGAGTCTTCTGGATCTATTGAGGTATATATACTAATACAGCGTGTTTGTACTTATGTACTGTACAGTTGATAAAAAGCAGTGGCTGATGATGTCAGAGGGTGCAGCCCGTGTGACCAGCTCCACTGTGTGAGAGACTTGTAGCTAAAATAGAAATAAAGGCAGCGCAGCACGAGAAAGAGGAGTTTGAACGAAATGGAAAGTGCCGCATGGCATGAAGTGTGAAAACTATAGTAAAAGGTTAAAGCAGAGAATGAATATTTAAAGGAAAGGTCCGAAAATTGTGTTATCGTAACAGGAAAAGTATTCGAATACAAAGAACTCAGTGGTTTTGTGTGAGAATGTAAGGCCATATCATGCTGAAGTCTCCGTTGCATTTGAAAATATCTAAATGCCAGATGATTGTCTGTCATTCTGGTTCACCTCTCCTTCCATATTCATTTGAGGTGTCTTTGGGCGATATTTTGAAAATTGAACATCGCTGGTTGAAAGCTGAACACATTGTCTCTGCACATTCAATAGCCATATGGCATGTGTGTTGCTCTGGTGAAACACCCTGAACGTTGTCTCCATCTGCTACATTGATAATTTGGAACCCTCAAGCGCGATATTTGGCAAGACAAGCGGAAATGCGGGTTGGATGCAGACCTAAAGGGGAAACTACCATAGGGTTCAAAAGTGTTCTGTATTGGGATGTGATGATTGGATATGCTGAAAAGAAAGATTCAGCAGAGACGTAATTCATGACTGCTGTTAAATGGAATCAAAAAATTGATGTTACTACACAAGGAGAGCCTGCCAGCTGGTATTTCATAGGGACATGATAATCCACCTTGACACTGGCTGCAAAAGTTTGACTAAGCATACATCCTTTTCATTCTGTAGGTCTTGAACCTTTATCAATACAACTGCTCCTTCCATTGATGCGCGAAGAACAAGGCAAGGGGGAAAACACACCAAGCATGACAGACTTTTGCATTATTCTGACAAAACCTTGTAGGTCCAAAAATACAATCAAATATTTTAACTACTTTCAGGCTTTTTCATCAATTTTGGGTGTGACAAAAGTTAGTTATGCTTGGTGTGAAACAACATAATGGTGGTACAGTTGTAGAATACGGACCGAATTTAGGGGGAGAAAAACGCCAGTCAGATGGCATCAACATCACGTGATTTAAGCCGGGCCGGACAACCCTGCAAAAACAGACGGGACACTTTTTCTCACCCATACCTGGGCCAGGAATATATCCTGACTTCCTCATGTCCTGTCTGATTCCGGTGACTATCTATTTTACTCGGGTATCTAGACATTATCCATAGCCAGTTAAAACCTGGTTTCCGCAGTGAAATGATATTTATTTCAAGTTATGCACTGCCGATTACAAAGCCCTCTGACCCAGATGGCGGATCCTCTGACTCAGATATCGCTGTTTTGCAAAAAGCCATCTGGACTATGAGCCTGTCACAGAACAATTATTCGTAGTTGAATCACATTCCATATCAGACATCGACTCAGGCATCAGAAAAACTTGGACATGTGATATCATCGATGAAGCCAAGCGTGTTGGTTCCCAGGCATTACTGCTTCCAGGCTGATAGTACCGTTTTGTTCGCTCTAACAGATTCGTTTGCGGCCTCTAACTTGTTAACCATGCTCAGCCTCAGCGCTCATGCCTGATCTTACAATGCTATACAGTGGTACTCCTGAGAAGGTGTCAGGCCAGGCCTTCGGTATATATATGCATATAAGGTACAGGTAGGTTGTTTTGTTACTCCTAGTCCTCATTGTCACTGGGATGTCTAGCTCTAATGAATTGAAGAACCCCCATACCCCCTTGGCATATTTATCGCTAGACGTGGCAAATCAAGTTGAAGTTGCCAGGTATCTTTACGCCGTCACTCTTGGTGTAAGTCCCAGTTGTTTCGGGTTGCACATCGTCGGAGGCCCACCGTCTGACGCTTGTTCCAAGGCATATGTGTGGGACATTGCAACCAACTTGGATAACGACTATAAACTCCTTGTCCACCACCGGGTTGGTTTTCCCACTATTGCTTATTGGTTATCAAGGTAATCTGTCCGCTTGAGCACATTGCTACCAATAGTTTTCTAAATCATTACATGTTAGAGTTTTCACCCTGAGCTGGATCCTTACTATGCTTATTTTCCAAGGTAAATGTCTTTATTATGTCATGCAGCTCCTGTGCTAATGTCGCTTTTAACTGTAGCTGATTTCATACCAAACTGCCAGGCACTGCAGATTGCTATGGGTGTATGCCTTGTTCTAGCACAATCAGCGACATCCTTGCTTTTTCTTCTACGGGCTCTGGCAATATGGCGTGGGAGTCACCGAACTTGTGCTATGTTCATCGTTTTATGGGTGGCTGTCGTTGGGTCGTCACTGTCAGTGCCCATAGGCACTGTTCCTGGAAATATAGGTCCAACACAACAATGTATTGTCCTCAAAGTTTACGGATATGCTGAGCTATTTTCAGCGGTAGCGATGCTGAATGATAGTGTGATACTTTTTGCCATATCATATCGCATCCTCACGCGCTGCACATTAGAAAAATCATTTAAATCCCAGATAGGGGCCTTCCTTGGTCAAGGCTCCATCCCGAAACTCTCTCGTGCTCTTCTGCAAGGCGGTCTACAATATTACCTGTAAGTTTACTCCCATCATTCAAACCTTAGAAATTTGTTCATGTACAATCAGCATAGCGGTTTTGGGGAATATCCTACTCCTGGTACTTTTAGGGATATCTAGCGTCCCTGTTGTTTATCACGGGATGTGTACAGTGCCTGTCATGGCCCTTATCAACGCCATGGGATGCATAGTCTTCAGAAAGATTAAGTTCGGTTTAATCAGTTCTGATGGAACAGTATACACGCGATCAAGATTGCACACTTGCAGAGAACCACATGGAAACCATTTGACCCTGCACATTTGCAGGAGCCGCTGTGGGGATGGCGATAGGCGTTATCCAGAGCTTCCGAATCATATACAGCAGTTCGTGGCATCTCACACGATGGAAACAGATACAGAGGCAACGCGGGTGATTGAAGATTCTACGGGAAGGACATGTCCCAATCCATCCAATATGTCCACAATTTCTGATGCTACTCTTGACATAATGGATAAATAATTAGATACCGTTATCACCGCACTTTCGATAAAATATTCACTTCATGTTATTCTATCAAAATTGTGAGTACATGTCCTGAGGTTCAATTGTCAGCCACCCACAATCACAACTCAGGCGGCACTTCAGAGAGGGATCCTAGGTCTTACAGATGAGATTTATATGTAGGGCAGAATTATTCTGTGAGACATGCTATCCACAGTTCATCAGGAAAGGTGCATTTTTCTTTCAGTAACTTTGGGGACTTGAGCTGTCTTAAACCCAGGACAAAATCATATGAAGACCATCAGGAAATTGAGGATGTTGTGACAATTGTTTATCAATCCTTATAAGCTATATAAAATGTGACAAGGATCAGTATTGCAGTCACAAAGATCATGAATAATAAGCTAGAAAATATTTTGTGAATCCTACCATCTACCAATGGGTTGTCTTCATACGACAGTTTAGTGTTAAATATGATATTGATTGTGTTATCTGTCAGCCAAAAATGCAATGTACATATTACAATTTGTGTCAGATGGCAGATATTGGACAGAGATATCACTATAAATAGCATGCCAAATACTCCCCAGGATGACCAACATTACACTTTTCATAATTATGTGTCAGATGGCAGTTATTAAACATGGACATCACTTTCAATAGCATTCCAAATGCTCCCTTTTATGATTAACATTGTATATACTAGTAGCTATCACGATGGGGATAGCACTGATAGTGATTATTGAGCACAAATGTTATTATCACAATTGTTGCAGTATTTGCATACCAATCAAGCCATGCTATGTGTTATAGGATTGGTAGCCTGACCAACTGTAGTACAAGGAGTACATCTTATCTACCACTGTAGACAATAAATTATATTTTGAAAACAACAAGTCATAAATGATAACATCCATCAAGTCTGATCAAATGTTCAACTGTGTCCACAGATATTATATGGATAGATCAATAAATGCAAGAACATAATATTTTTATTTTATTTATGCATGGAGGTGTTGAAAGTAGAAAGATTTCTCATATATATACTCCAACAGTTCTTGGACTTTGGCAGTGACCGCTTTTAGAGTAGATTACATAATCACATACTTATACGTAGCATGACAGCCAGCTTGCACCTCAGCTCTTGAAACTAGAGACTAAGGTGAGATATTCATCACACTACTATATATACTTTACTGATTATTCCTAGACTTAATCTTTTGTCTAGGTTAGTTAAATAGCAGCTCTCAAAACTAGTGTTTCTTCTCAACCTTCTTTCAAAAGGAGGTATGACACTAAGAACAGCTATCTAATCAGGCTCAAGAGTCAGAATCATTCCTTTGATCCATTTCCTTGAGAGCTTTTTGCTTTTCCCTAATTCTGGCTAAAGCATTATGTTTAGCTATTGGTTGTTGAGCAGAATAATATGTAGGGAAAATTTGGCTACATAAAGATTATCAACACACCTCCTGTAGAGAAAAATATACACTTGCCAATTCCACCATATAAGGAGATCATCAACATCCTGCCCCTTGTCAGTGTCTTCAAATAATTCTTAAACAAACAAGTAAAATTTTTTGGAGTCTGTAACAGTATCTGTATGCAAAAATACAGGTGGAGAACACAAAGCAAAGTGGACCTAATAGTATACCAGTGAAAAATATGTAAATATAATTAAGTACCAAGTAAAAAAAATACCTGTGTGCCAATATATGTGAGGGATGCAGCAGTGACATGAGTCATGCCATGTATGCCTGCCAAAGAGTGTCAAAACTTGAATCACACAATATAGATTTACTCACCAAAACTAAAATTCTACTCTGGAATCATGCCTTCCACGGATCTGCTGATTCATAGATGTAGCCTGCATAAAGAAAAACAGGCCACCAGAGATGGCTAATTCTCCACTTTGAAATTTCTCTTTGATTCTGAAAATAAAGTATGCGTGAGCATAGTCCACACATGAATAAGTGACAGCCTACACTGAATTAGGCCAATCCAACCCAGCAGGGAAGAAACCCCCACTGAGTTTGTGATTGTAACCATGGCCACTCTTGATATTCCTAGCAAGAGGTGGTATGAGAGGTTGTCCGTGGGGATTGATCCAATCTAGAACGGCACTTTTCAAACTTTTGGTATTGTCGCTCCTAGCATCTGCAGCACCTTTTGTGATCTTCAAGCGCAATAGTCAGCAGGAACCACATCTATATATGAAATCTACCAGTTTGGCAATAAGCCCAGCCTCCTCCTCAGATCCTTCCATCAAACATTCTTTTAGTCCTGAAATGGTCTTAAGTAGCTTGGTGAACACATTATGTTCTTGCCTTTCCCTACCACAGTGATCAATAAAAATTGCTGCATGATTAGAAAATTTAAACCGTAAAGTTCTCATCAGAGGTTACCATTTCATAGAGTTGAGTAATGGGTGGGCACACATTTTGAACCCTCTTGGCTTTATAGAGCTGGTTTGGTAATTCATCTGGGCCACACCAGGTTAAACAGCATTTACCTTTGCTTTACTAAATGACTTTTTAATCAATAATAAGGAATGTAAAACTTCTGCAATGACTTTCTATTCCAAGATACGGTGGGTGACAAACAGTGCACTTCTGCACAAGGTCCCAGTGCATCCCTCAGTTCTAGACTTCCCGGTTACCTCAATGATATTTTCCCCCTCTAGAATAGATATCAGGAGTTTATGAGGGTGTCTTGGCAGTGGAGATATTTGAAATATATGCGTTGGCATGGATTTGCACACCAACATGGCTGTCACCCTTCCCCGGGGTCTCTAGCATTATTTTGCCCGGCTTGCCCTCAGCCGGGTATCAATGTCTTGCTTGATTAGAAGCAGGACCCCCTTAGGCAATATCACTTGAGGACTTTTGTCATGGACAAGAACTTTGATGCAGAGTGCATAAAGTCAAAAAAACCCTATGATGATATCACATCAGCCGATGGCACAGCATTCTTGACGGTAAACCAACTGTACATGGAGCACCTCAAAATTGCCAAAAAAAATAAAGTGCGGTCTACTTGTAATGATCACAGAGCTGTAAACCTGGCAAACAAGGACCAGCAGCACCTCAATGCTACTGGGATTGGTGCTACTGCCTATGCCCAGCATGGAGTATTTTGCCCGGGTGCCGTAGTGGATTTTCAGAAAGTTAAATGGTGAGTTGCCCACAAATCTGTGATTGTGGCAATTTCTCACTCTTCATAACCAAATAAACATGGACTATTCCCTGTGTCAGGCCTTGTCCTCATTGGCCAGGATTGACTCAGCCATAGTCCTCTACAATATAATGTGCCAATATAATAAACACTTCTTGAAGAGGGTCCTTGAAAGTCCTTATCTTCAGGTCCCCAGTGGTGTATCCATGTACAAGGACATTGGATTATTTCATGTGTATAGTCATCAAGACATCTGCTTCCCAAGATACGCCCCTGCTATGAGCAAGTCATATAGGCAAGAAATATTGGACGATCATATGTGTGATTCCAATTGGAAGAAGTTTATATAAATGGGTAGGTCCCAGGCTTCAATAATTCACCCATATTCATGACTAAGTGCATGCCTAGTCCCGGCGCTTTGCAAGAAGTTCAAAAAGGTTCAACAAGGCTTGCTATCAAGCAAGCTTGCATTTGAAAAAATCAATTCCACTGCAGACTTTAAGGACACAGAGGCCTGGATTGCCCAGGAAAAAAAGGCACAGCAAAACTGGCTGCATAAAGAAGATGCCATGGATATATATGAAGTCTCTTTGGCAAAATTACCCAGCAAAGCAGAAATCCAGCTACATTTATCGCAACAGGAAACAAGAAATGGAGTGGTTTGAGGAACCGCTGCTTTGTTATCAATGGGTCTGAAGTTGGAAGAGACTCAGTAAGTCCCTGGGCCACCGGGATCACGGGAATATATGTTTTGCTAAATACTGATTAATTCTACCTGACAGGATACAGCTGCAAATGTATGCAAAATAAATTAACCAAAAGGGCACAACTGCAGAGAAACTGAAGTTAGAGGAAAGGCATCAATGCTTGCTCTCCCACGTAGATGCTTTCAACTTCAAGGTTGAAAGGTATCTAGGCAATATAATATTGCTGAGCTTCTTGAGGAGGTCCTGGGGTGGCCAAACTCTGACAAAGATGGCAATGCAGAAAACATAAATCTGTTTGACCTCCCGGGTTCCTTTGATGGCGATGATGAGCCTATTGAGAGGAGAAAATTGGTGTTACCCTCTAACTTAGGAAAAGGCACTTGCAAAATCAAAGGCCTACATCATCTAGTAAGTCAGGAGCTTACACTCTGGAAAGGTCAGGCCAACAATGCCTTGCATCAGATACGTATTCTACTGGGTCAAAAGTCTTTTCTGTTCAGGACAAAGGTGAGAGTGGCCCAGGGCTCTCAAAAGACAAAGTTGAAGGCTTGGGCAAAGGTTAGCCACATGAAAGCCAACGTCAAAGTCCATTCAGCCATATATAAGAGAGCCTGGCATGCAATCATATCTCTGGGGTGCCGGGCAAAAATATTACAAAAATATCAAGAGGTCCTATTATAAGATAGTTTATCCACTTTTTCACTCACTCCTCTCTGCTTGCTCTCTCTGTGTGCTAGAGTATAAAAATTTTGGTTGTAACAGCCCAGGTGGTATACTTTGTTGGACTCTGCTGGCCCCATCTATATATTAATATCATTGGGTAATAATGCCCCATTTAACGCGGAAGGTTATTACTATACTATGTGATCCAAAAGCTTGGCAAGGTGTTCACCAAAACCAGCAGTTTTATCTGTGAATACAACGAAAATATTAAGCTCATTATCTTTGAATATCTGTTCTTCTAAACCTGACAAAGGTCCATTTTCTGGATATAATTTAACAATGCTAAAATCAAAAGAAATGTTAGTCCATAAACAATTGGGGGATTTCAACAATAGCAAAAAATCCCAGATTTTGTTCTTTTGAACACTTTCCAGGACCTACAATATTCAGCATACCTTTAACGTCAACAGGTGTATATGATAAGACCAATATGGTAGAAACAATGTTCATGTTGATAGTTCCATCTCCTGCAATTCTACGACCACCACCAACATCCAGGAGCCAGCTAGCAAAGGCTTCACTTTCTGGAGTACGGTCTAGGCACATGTTCTGTGTGAGATAGCATGGATATTTTTCCACAGTTGTGACCATCCAAGAGAGGCAGAAATAATATGTTGCCTTGACCCTCTTGGAACAATAGGTGTTGTTACAACACTCCAGTGGCTGGGCACCCTGGGTGGCAACAAAAAATGGAGTTGATCTCCAGGATGCAGCCGAGGAGATTCGAAAAATAGGTAGGGCCATAGAGCTCTACAAAATGCATCAAGGTGGCGGGACCACCACCAAAAACAGAGAGTTGTCTTGCCTCATATCTTGCAGGTAGAGCTGTTCTGCAATGTGGGGGTTCACATTGCGTTCCAGTAACTCTATTGCATGTTAATTACATAAACCCCCTTGGATTGAGAGGGCCAGAAACTGGGTAACATAATCATTGATCCTCATGTTTCCTTGCTTGAAGGATCAAATTTGCTGGCGCGCCCAGTCACGCTCAGCTTGCAGTTTGAAGTATTTTTTGATTTCTACCTTGAGATCATCCCAGGAAGGCCACACTCCTGCGGTGTAGCACTCCTGTAATCTAACTTGGGTGTATCAACCCGCCGCAGGTCCTTTTAATCGAGATAGCACCACAGTGGCTACCTCAAAGTCGTCGGTGAACGCATCCCAGTTTGCTTTTATCCAAATTTGAAGCTTGATCCACCATTCTGCAAATCGAGCCTGCTCTCCTTTGAAAGCGCCAGGGTCAGCAACGATCTCAACTTTCTTATTGAACTTCTTTTCTACTAAGGGGGCTGCTGCAGGGGGGTTCTCCTGCAACTCGGCGAGTTGTGTGGTCAATGCCAGGATCTGTGCACGCATGTTGTGCAACAGAGCATTGACATCTTGTTGAGGTTGCAACAACATGTTGACTTGTTCTCTTGGTAAAGTAAAAAAATGTAACAGGGGGTCCCCGCTTGGTATCTGCGGATCTACCTCTTCCCTGCTGAGTGTCGGATCTCAATCTCCGACTACCCACACTATAGTGTTCGAAAAGTATGTAAAAGTTATAGTAATTGAACCCTGGTCTGAATGGTTGTCAGGGGGTGGCCCGCTTGTTAAGCTGTCAGCCCTTCTCCAGACTGGCGGAGGCAAGTGCCCGGCCTGGTCAGAGGAAAGGGAAGGAGAAGTTTTGTATGTAAATTCTAATCAACAGTGGTTCCACACCGACTGCTGAGCCAAAGTACTCCCCTTAATGATGGGGGACACGTATCGAAGGTATTGGTTCTTCTCCCAAAGCACTACAAGGCCGTCGCTAGGAGTGCACCTATCTGCTATGTGGGGTATTCCCAACCAATAACCAAATCTCCTTCACTCTGGAGTCTGGGTGCCCAGTGAGACTTTTTGCACAATTTGCAAGAGAGTAGAAGAGCAAGTCCTAATGTAACAACCTAGAGTTAGTTACTCTGGCGCACACAGGAACACACTATAAAGGTAGTGAATGGGGAGTGGTTACCCCTTAGGCTGCAGAAAGTTTGTTGGTTAACAACAGGAGGACTCGCTGAGGAGTCTCCTTGATCTATTGGGGTTTATATACTGTTACAGGTTTGTTTGTACATATGTACTATACAGTTGCTAAAGGCAGTGGCTGATGATGTCATAGGGTGCAGCCCGTGTGACCAGCTCCACTGCGTGAGAGACTTGTAGCTAAAAATAAGAAGAAAGCAGTGTGACGCGAGAAAGAGGAGTTTGAACAAAAGGGAAAGTGCCGCATGGCACAGAGTGTGAAAACTACAAAAGAAAGTTGAAGAAAAGAATGAAAATCAAAGGAAAGGTCCAAAAATTGTGTTATGGTAACAATTAAACATTTTAACTATTTTCAGACTTTTTCATTAATTTTGGGTGTGACAAAAGTCGGTTATGCTTGATGTGCATAGAAGGGGGGTAGTGTTACAACAACATAATTTCAGCCACATCACTTTTAAACTCCTATTTAACTTTCTTTCCAAATATGGATACTTGTGCTGCACAGTATTTTCCTTGTTTATTTATTCTCAGCTTTAACTTATATTTCTTGCACTGTAAGTCTTGCTCTTTGATGATCTCTTTTGTTGTCTCATCAGAGAACACCCTTTTTTGTGACTTGTATCTATCTTACTATCTCAATATTGTACCTTTCTGTCTAAACTATTATGAGCTTGTACCAATTCTTTTGCAACGTGAATATTGCAAAGATACTTTGGACATCCTTGGTGTGTCAATTATTTCACCTTCAGACAAAAAAAGCATGTTTCCACAAGAAAAAAGGTAGAGTCATGTAGACTCTTGACCACAATGAAGCAATCCACCAGTCCTGGCCCTCTGTTGTACCCCAAAACATTGTTTTTTGGTGTCTAAATAATTATATGCATGTTTAAGGTGGTCCATGGGTCCCGTCTGTTTTGTCTGTTTTTCCAATGGAAAAGATGTCAATGTTGTCCATGTTCAATCTGATTCTCCCTTACCTTTAAATTTAAAACCACTAATTATTGACAATGCCTTTATTATTAGAAACTGTATAACTCAAACTGTCTCTTCTCAATTCACATTTGGCAATCCCTCAATAAATAGCTTAATGCTTAGTTGTGGAGGCATAATCTCCTGCTCATCCACAGCAGCATCACTTAATATTTGTACAGATTGCCATAATTAATTGGAGAAAGGCTTTGTACCTCAGTTATTTTTAGCTAACATGTTACATATATAGAGGTGTATTTCCAAATTTATTCCCCAATTTAACCTGAGTAGGATAAAATGCTTTCCCCTTGTATTGCATGACTGCACATGTTATCAGACCATATTATTTTTCTGGTATATTGCAACCTAAAGTATTTTATGGAAAAATATCCACACATTTGTCGGAAATCCCCTCCAAAGACCATTGTAATACCTCCAAACAGAAGCTGATTATCCAAAATTTCCCGCAATATATGATCCAATGCTTCAATTCCGTGACAGTGTTGCATTGGTGCTTCATCCCAGACAATAACACCAGTATGTCTCGATACCTCATGGAGGTCAGAGTGTTTCCAGATTCTTATGGTCGGTCCAAATTTCAAACTGGTGCCTAGCACCTTCTAAGTAATGCCGCCAGTGCTCTAGAGCTCTAATGATGGCCAGCATCTCTTTGTTGTAAATTTTATAGTTGCGCTCCGTAGGCGACGAACTATGTGATAAATAGGCACAAGGCCTCCAAAGATGGTCAGGGCATTTAATTGACAAAGAGCTCCCCACCAACATGCTTATGCCAGAAAACACCATAGACTCATTAGTTGATGTTTATCTATTGCCTTGATCCTCGCGGACTCAGGCACATAGATCTTGTTTTTAAAATGAAAGAGCCCGTCTTTCCATATATATTTTTCATTGCCATCAAGGCGCAATTTTTCTTCTGAGGAGATGTCTTTCTTAAAGACTTCCAGAAGATCGGAATCTTGCCCAATTCTAACATTGGCAACCCTTGATTGGTCTATCAGGGTGACACCTTTGTTATCATCCTCGATGACATTGGCATGATCCTCTCTTCTGGATAAAGCATCCGCTTTCCCCATAGAGCTTCCAGGCTTATGAATTAATTTATAATTAAACCTAGACAAGTACACCACGTAGCGGGCCTGTCTTCGGTTCAAGTCTCGGGCCGTCATAAAATACATAAACTACATGTGGCCTAGCATGGTCAAAGACGTACAGGAATATGTAAAATCCTGTCTGAGATGTGCTATGGCTAAGAATTTTCATCAACCGCCGGCCGGTAAACTTATGTCGAATCCAATACCAGCTGGTCCCTGGCAGGATATATTGGTTGATTTCACAACAGATCTGCCCAAGTCGAATGGGTATGATTCAGTAATGGTGGTAGTAGATCGCTTCTCCAAAGAAGTGGTATTCATACCAACCAACAAAACTATTACTGCCGCTGGTACGGCAGATTTATTTAAAGATTTTGTATGGTCCACCCATGGATTACCAGAGACGATTATTTCCGATAGGGGACCTCAATTTGCTAGTGAATTTACAAAAGAACTATGCCGGATGCTGGGCATTAAACCTAAATTATCAACGGTGTTCCATCCGCAGACTGATGGACAAACGGAGACGCTCAATCAGGAATTAAAGCAATACCTCCGATTATTTATTAATGACAGACAGACAGATTGGGCTAAGTGGCTAAAGATAGCGCCCAGTTCTCATATAATATCAAACAGTCGTCGGCCACAGGAAAGGCACCATTTGAGGTTACGAGATTGTACCTTCCTAGAATTGGTGTGGAACCTGGCAAGAGCAAAAATGAGGCTGCTGAGAACATGGCCAAGGACATGAAATCTGTCTTAGACAAAACGCACAAGGCGCTATTCAAAACTGCAGAGCAGATAAAAAACACGGCAGAGCGTAGACGCTCTAAGGCCCCTGACTACAAGGTTGGCAACTTGATCTGGTTAGATACCGACCACTTAAAATTAAAAGATTGGCAGTCTAGAAAACTGACCAAAAAGTAGATTGGCCCTTACCGGATTAAGGAAGTCAAACCCAATGCAGTGGAGCTGGAACTCCCAAAACAAATGAGGGTAGTACCCATGGTCAATATTAGCCGTGTGAAACCCTACAAAGGGCCGCTGCCAGGATAGCGTGCAGACAGGCCCGGACCGGTAGTAGTCACCCAGGAAGGTGAAGAAGAATTTGAAGTCGAACGGGTGGTGGATGCACGCTTGAAGCGTGGAAAAGTAGAGTTCCTAGTACTATGGAAGGGCTATGGAGACGAGGACAGAACGTGGGAACCAGAAGCCCATCTGGACAATTCCCGCGACGCTATTTGCAAATTTCATTCTAAGAATCCCTTGGCTCCTAGGAAGCTTAGAGGCATGGATTCAAAAAAATTTTATTCCCTTTTTGAACCAATGCCCAAAAATTTAACTACTACCTCCGGTATCTGGTCTCGCCTGGAAGTCAAGCCTTAGAGGGGGGGTAGTGTTACGATAACACAATTTTCGGACCTTTCCTTTGATTTTCATTCTTTTCTTCAACTTTCTTTTGTAGTTTTCACACTCTGTGCCATGCGGCACTTTCCCTTTTGTTCAAACTCCTCTTTCTCGCGTCACACTGCTTTTTTCTTATTTTTAGCTACAAGTCTCTCACGCAGTGGAGCTGGTTGCACGGGCTGCACCCTATGACATCATCAGCCACTGCCTTTAGCAACTGTATAGTACATATGTACAAACAAACCTGTAACAGTATATAAACCCCAATAGATTAAGGAGACTCCTCAGCGAGTCCTTCTGTTGTTAACCAACAAACTCTCTGCAGCCTGAGGGGTAACCACTCCCCATTCACTACCTTTATAGTGTGTTCCTGTGTGCGCCAGAATAACTAACTCTAGGTTGTTACATTAATTGCATTTTTGGACCTACAAGACTTTATCAGAATAGTGTATTTTTGTTAATATATTTCTACATATCCACACAAAATATCATAACATCATTTTGTAGGTCCAAAATGCAATTAAATATTTTACCTACTTTCAGGCTTTTCCATCAATTATGAGTGTGACAAAAGTTGGTTATGCTTGCTGTGATGGTTTGACTTCCAGGCAAGACCAAATTCCAGTGGTGGTAGTTAGATTCTCAAGCATCAGTTGAAAAAGAGAACCAAAACGTTATGAATCCATACCTCTAAGCTTCCTAGGAGCTGAATAAAATGTATGCATCATCTTAGATTTCTCTGAAGGCCTAGGTAAGTTCATTTTCCACTCTACCTCAACCATTACTCATAAGTGTTTATCAAATATTTACATTATTTGTCAGTGTTAGAAGAGCTACAGAAACAAGCTCCTAGATGGTTTTTGAAAATTTGAAAAGATATATACAATAATATTCTGTGAGTAGCCTATCAAA